GAGCTTTGGGTTGCCTTTCCTAGCGTGAGCTGGCAGAAAGTCGAAGGGAGTGCCAGCAGCACCTCGGACAGCTCCCAGGCATAGCAAAGATGGCTGTCAGACAGGAGCAAGACCCCATTGCCAGGTTGTCAAGGAGCCTCTGGAAAGCTATATAGCACCTCCAACAAATGTCAGCGTCTCACGTGATGTCACTGCCTGCTTGCCTACATCAGTTGATGGGGCTCCTGTGTTAATCAAAACACAATTCAACGGAGTCTTTGATCCCTAATTAGATCCAGAAACATATAGTCTCTCCATCCTTCCTCCACTGATGCAAAGATTATCAGCAGTCCCTCTGCCCGATCTTAGCAAAGAGAGGCCCTTCGCACCAGATGCTCCCAGGATTTCAAAAGGATTCATTGGGAGATGCTAGGGATTGAACCCGTGACCTGTGAGCAGTGCAGGTGCTCAGCTGCTGAGCTGTGTGTTCCTTCCAGGCTTACCTTAATAAGATCTCTTTCTCTAATAACCTCCTTTGAGGGATAAAGGGGAAGGAATAAGGACCTTATCCATTTTGATAAGGTTTAAGTATAAGCATGGTGTAGTTTTTTTTTTAAAAAAATGCTTCTGTTTCTCCAAGAATTGGGGAGGAAACTATCTGGAGAAAACTCCATCTCTTTATCCAAACAGGGGAGGGGATGGGTTCTCCTGAGCCATCAGATTCGGGCTGGATTTTCAAAAAGTGTTCTTTCTCCATTCAGAAGTCCGGTTGCTATGGAAACAGTCTCCGAGTAATGGATTGCTCTCGAGTGCAGAATTTGGGCAATGGTTGGGCAGCTCAGGGCAGGAGGAGCTGATCCAATAGGCTGCAGCTGTTCAAGTCTGCTCCAGCCTTGTTGTTGGAACTACATTTTTGCTTAGGAAACCAAAGCAATGCAAACAATAAATATTTCGGTTTCTGAGCATTGTCCGGAGATTGGCTCTGAAATCCTGGTGGTTTAAGTCTTTGAGCAGTAGAAAAATCTCATTTCTGGCTTCCGACTGGCAAACTTCATCGGAATGGAAGAAGCATAAGCCGAAAGGGATATAAGCATTGGTCACACTTATCCCCTGCTCTTACCAGAAAACCCAGCCTGGGTCAATTTCACAATGCCTTCTAGTCAAATTCATAAAGCCCACTCATGCTGATGTTCCCTGCTTATTTGCTTATTAGATTTTTGTCCCGCTGTTATTACTTTTTAAGTAACTCAAGATGAAAACATACATACCACTCCCCCCTCCTCCTGTTTTCCCCACAACAACTGCCCTGTGAGGTGGGTTGGGCTGAGAGAGAAGGACTGGTCCCAAGTCACCCTGTCAGCTTTCATGCCTAAAATAGAACTAGAACTCACAGTCTCCTGCCCAGAGTTGCCAAGATGCCTTTCATGCCTGTGGATGGACTAGAACAGGGGTCCTCAACCTTGGCAACTTTAAGACTTGTGGACTTCAACTCAGTCTCCTGCTGATTGGCCCAAAGTTACACAGCCAGCTTTCGTGGCTAAGGCAGGACTAGAACTCACAGCCTCCTAGTTTCTAGGACAGCACCTTAACCACTAGACCAGTGGTTCTCAACCTGTGGGTCGGGACCCCATTTGGGGTCGAACGACCATTTCACGGGGGTCGCCAAACAATGAAGTCCGCCATTTTTTTCCCCTTTTCCTTAGCTGTGCTACTCCCTTTTATTCTATTGGCTTTTGAAAGCCAATAGAATAGACTCTCTTGAATAGAGTCTAATTCTATTGCTTTCAAAAGCCAATAGGAATTGTCCAGGCTGTCTCTGCCCTGCTGAGCCCACCAAAAGTCCCATTCTGCAAACGGTGCTGCACCAGTTGAGTAGTCCTCGACTTACGACCGGTTGAGTAGTCCTTGACTTACGACCGGTTGGGAGTTGCGGCATTAAAAAGCTTGAGAACCACTACACTACACCAAACTACCTCTCATATATATACCTGCCCTACGCTTTCCTCCAGCAACATCCTGTAAGTGAAACTGATGTCACAACTTTGAAACACCCTGCATTTTATAGTGCAAACAATCCAAACTCTAATTGTCCGAAGCCCTACAAAATGTGTAAGAGTAAAAATGGAGGGGGGAGGGAGAGGGAAAATAAAACAGGAGGGTAGGTTGGCACACGTATTGTGTCTTTTTCCTTGAGTGACCCAATCATCATCCTGATGGAAAATAACTTTCAAGCACAGTCACACCTCCTCCTCCTCTATAATCTTTCAGTCTTTTCTCAGTCTCTATATCAAGAGCCCGCAGCAGGTGGCAGCACCAACCAACTTTGCTTGATGTGTTGAAAAGAAGGATGTCTCTAACTCGCAGAACCACATAAAGAACACAGTTATAGTAACAAGACAATTGTGGAATGGGACACTGGATTGTTGCTCGAAGTCCTACACTGATGGTACCATTGCTCTCCCCATTTATTGGTCCATATCTGGAGGTTCTGAACTTGGAGAAGACAACTCCTTCTGCAAGCTGCAGTTAGTTGAACCAGATACATCCATAGGTGTTATTTATTTATTTATTTATTTATGAGACTTATATACCGCTTTAAGTGCAAGCACTTTCTAAGCGGTGTACACCAGTAAGCAATGTATATATATATATTTACATTGCCCCCAACAATCTGGGTCCTCATTTTACCTACCCCGGAAGGATGGAAGGCTGAGTCAACCTTGAGCCGGTGAGATTTGAACCGCTGACCTGCTGAACACAGTCAGCTAAAGTGGCCTGCAGTACTGCACTCTAACTGCTGTGCCACCTCGGCTCATGTTATTTAGCTCATAACATGCCCAATGGAATGAATATCTGCAATTTTATCTCTTTAGTGAAAGGTAGTTCAACATTTGCACCCCTGAATTTTCCTTTGGGTTCCTTTGTTCAAGTTAGCCACCTCATATATAATTGATGCTATCCAAAATTGTTCTCCTGTAAGTTTTATACATCTTTCTATACCTATACTGATACCTGCGCTTGTATCTCTACCTGTATTCAGGTAGTCATCAACCTTACAATCGCAATTACAATTCAGAAGACTTGCAAATGGAAGATATTGCCTAGATCCCTTCCTTGCAGCTGGATGGAGCTGAGCATTTACTAGCCAGATGCCCTTCCTGATGCCATGCAGAGTTCACAGCAGGTCTATTTTTTTCTTTGTGCCCTCGGAGAGAAACATCTGCCACTACCTAGGATTGAACTCTCAACATTCTGAGTGGGAGGCGAGCATCTTCACCACTAGGCCACCATGGCGCTCACTTGAGCCAGTCCAATAAAAGCATCATAACTTTACTTCACAGTTTCTCCCGATGGAGAGGTCTAAGTGCAGTCAAGCCCCACTGCTGAGTTTGTTGAGACCATGCCAAAACGGCTGATGTCAGTTGATCTTTTGAAACACTTTGGAATCAATTAATTCTTGTGCTAATTAACCAGCTACCGCAAAACCTGCCAAGTGTAGGATTCCTTGCTCCCCTCCCTAAATGGAACCAAACTCTGCACTCTCTTAATTTAGATTATTCTTTAAGTATGCCAGATTGAAATGCTGACTTTCTCTCCAGAGAGTTGGCAGAGAATGTATGGGGGCAAAGGAGTCTAATCCAAAAATGTAAAGATACATTTGGAGGCTGACTGAGAAGATGCTGCTTGAAAAGGGCTTGTGTGTGTGCGTGTGCAGTGGAGGCTCAGTTATGTAACCAAGGCTGCTATAATTTTGTCTTCCCTGTCCTCATTTGTTACCTTCCCCAAGGGGATGCCCTGCATACTGTATGGAAAACAGTTATCTGGGAACTGTATCTCCTACACATCTACAGGGTGACAATCTTTGCTGGCTATTGGTAAGATTGCTGCAAATGAACCAAAACAGGTCTATTAAAAAAAATCCCTTCTCATCCCTATGGTAGTATGTGACTTCCTCAATCTGGGGTGCTCTATCAGAGGCCTGGGAGGTTGAGGCAGGATCTGCGCAGGATCTCAATTGTTTCTAGCACTGCACTCTTCTGGACAGATAGCTCCGATATTGTTCCTGGGATCTGTTGGAACCATTCCCCCAGGTTAGAGGTCCCAGGAGTATTCCAACTACCACTGGAATCACTTTGGCCTTTCCTTTCCACATCTTCTCTAGTTCCTCCTTCAGGCCCTGGTCCTTCTCCAGCTTCTCAGATTCCTTCTTCTTGATATTGCTGTCACTTGGAATCTATGTCTATCACCATTGCTGTCTTCCGTTCCTTGTCAACTAGCACAGTGTCTGGTTGATTGGCCGGCACTTGCTTGTCGGTCTGTATCTGGAAGTCCCATACCATCTTAGCTCTCTTATTTTCCACAACCATCTCCCATCTGGACACAGGATGGTCCAACCCAATGTTTCCCAACCTGGGCAACTTTAAGATGTGTGGACTTCAACTCCCAGAATTCCTCAGCCAACATGATATGACCATAGGTTCCAATGAAATGCTAGATCTCCAGGCTCTCTTCAGAGGGCACATTCTCAAGGGAAGATCAAAGGCGAATTCGAAAGGGATCTCATCGCCCTTCCCTTTCACGGACCACAAAACTGGACTGGAAGCAGCGGTAGGACTGTCAGAGCCAAACTTGGCTGGCAAAAGTCTTAAGATCGCTACCCCCGCTGATCCTACGGTCTAAATCAGGGGTCTTCAAACTTGGCAACTTTAAGACTTGTGGACTTCAACTCCCAGAATATCCACAAGTCTTAAAGTTGCCAAGTTTGAAGATCCCTGGTCTAAATGGGCTGCCCGGTGACTCAGTACGAGTCAGACCAAGCTATCTGAGGATTATGGGAGTTGTAACCCCACAAGTTAAAAACTCCGAACCGGACTCTCAGGTCCAATTCCTGTGCGCTGAGTGCCACCAAAACACGCCCGCCACCGGCTTCGCCCTTCTCCGAGGGCGGGGCAGGAACCAGGGGAGGAGCCACCTGCCCCGCCCAGCCGGCTCACCTGCCTGCCCCACCTCCAGCTTTTTTTTTTTTTTCCGCCCTGCGCGCATGTGCTCGCTCGACGCCGGCGCTTCCCTTTCCCGAGCGCTTTTCAGGCGAGCCTCGTTTCCAAAGTGATTGGAGAAACCGCCGCCCGAGTGGCTGCCGCTTTTGCTTGGCCCGCCGAGAAGCCCCAGCCATGCCTGCCCCGGCCCACTTCTGGGAGCTCCGGGCGGCGCTGCTCTGCGCCTTGCTGTGCGCGCGAGGCTTGGTCCCCAGCCAGGCAGGTGGGTGAGATCGCGGGGGTCCCTCTGGCGGGGGTCCGCTGCCCTCCGTCCCCTCCCTCCCTCCCATCCACTCACTTGGGACCCCGAGCCGGTTGTCGCTTCGCTGCTCTTGGGGAGGACGGGGACGGGGGTGCAAAGTTGTGGCGACCTCTGGCCTCGAGGTGGCTTTGCAACGGGCGCTGGGAAGGATGTGTGTGTGTGTGTGTGTGTGTGTGTGTGTGTGTGTGTGTGTGTGTGTGTTTGTGTGTAATAGATGAGTGCAAGTTCCCCCCTTTCCTCGAACATGCTAGAGGGTTGGACTACAGCTGCCATCGTCCCTGTGATCAGGAAAAGTTGTTGAAGGCTTCGGCAGAGCATGCTGTAAAATAGGTCAACTCCCATCTTAGAGCATCAAGTTCTATCTATTTAGCTAGCCACTTCGTAGTCCAGAGAGGAAATTGCTTCCTTGTGGTAGATCCTAATTGTTACCTTAATGTTAATAAGCCCTTCCTCCAAGATTTCCTCCCCCCCCCGCATTATTTTTCACAAAAACTCAGCAGGTATTAAAGTGGTTGATCTGAAATCTCGGAACAGCTGAATTTGTACAATTTGATCTATTAAACACCCAATGCTTGTATTTCCTCTACATCCTGAACTTGGTTAAGTTCAACTTTTTTCCTGACTTGGTATATATATTATGCAAAGAGAGTTTCTCTGCTTATTTTGTAGTTAGGCTAAATGTCATAGGTGAACAGAGCCAATGGGCTTTATTGATGTCTCTGGGTTTGAACCCAGATCTCCTTAGTCAAAACCTGATGCTCATTCTCCCAGATCACCCATTCCTTTGATTCACACATATATGTTGAACTCTTAATTGCCTTGACATTTGGAACTCAGCTGCTCACCTGGCAATAATGCAAGACTTAGGGGAAGTTAAGCCTTGAACATAGCACTTTGCAACTAGTTGTGATGTTGAAAGGACCTACATTTTGGGGAGGAAAGGGCTTGGTTCCACAGACCAGGATTCCTTTCTAGTTTGTTTTTGTCCTTTGGCCAATATAGCTGTAATCCAACTATAGCTCTGATTAATTAGAGGAAAGGTAATATTTGTGGTGAATCTCTTCCATAGATGTGAAAGTCTGTAATGAGTTCATTTCTGCAAGCTATTATCTTGCACTTTTCCAACCTACTGATCTGAAAGTCTAAATCCACCCCAAATGCCAAGTTTTTAGTATGGACACCAAATAGTATTGCTGCAACTGAAGAGGTCCAATATAATCATTATATATTTAGGACTTGATTTGTTCCAAATTCTGGGAATCCGGGGTTTGATAGTCCCTTCCAAAAAGGTCAATATGAAATGTTTGTACCACAAAACACTCGTGTGGTCCGCAAACTTATTCGCTGCCAGTGATTTCTGTAACAGGGTGTACTGCAGAAGCACACCACATGAATTCTTCTCCTTCACTTGATAGCATGCTTAATGCCAATCTGTCTTGGTACTTGATTTTGAGTATTTTAGGAAAGCGGTTTAGTAATGCAGATGGAGTCATATTTTCTTTTTCGCCTACTCTTTTTTTTTTTTTATCCTTCAAAGCTATCAGCCCATTCATTAGAACAATCTGAAGGATGCTAGCGCATGCCTGTTCTACAAACCAGTTGTTGAGCAGGGTTTTGTGTTCTATGGCTGCATGTTATGTCATTGTACAATTCGTATAATGTGTGCCTTAACAGGTTGGGTGAGCTCAACTGAACTGGGCTTTATTCAATGAACAAGTCAGTAGCTCAGGGCTGTGCAACATTTCCATAGCTGGTGGACACAATTAACATTTTGGGGATGGTTCGCATGATCTTGCAAATAAGGCAGCAATGCAGAGTGGGTCACTCAGCTAGCTAGGTTCACATATCATGATGAACTGGGGTACTGAATTGACCCCTTTTGGGGAGTTGCACAATACACTGACCTATCAACTAATTAAATGGGCTGGGTTCCCATAACATGGGAAATATGAACAAAAAATGAGGTTAATACCAACCAAAGTTAGCATGCTGGGAGTTCATTAGGTCATGTTGAAAACAATGTAGTAAGCCAGATGTTGAAGGCATCTGTGCAAATCTGGGTCTTTGCAAGCCTGGATCTTTCCAACTCACTATTGTCCAGGTATTCATTCCAGGGCAATTGTTATCTGAGGAAGCAAATTAGTGACGCATGTCATGTAATCTGAATCCATGGAAATAGGAGAAGAAAGCAAGATAATTTCCTCCTGAAGCTGGCCCAAGTGGTTTATAGACAAGAATGGAAAGTGTTGTGCAGACTCTTTTAAACACCTGGTCTCTTGTGATTGGCTCTCCCCTGGGGCAGCAGCGGGTGGATTTCATGCCGGTGTGACCTGTTTTATTCTGTCTTTTCATTAGAAGTCTCCCAAACAGCAGTCATCACAAAATGAGGCCTTGAGGGCGGAGTCAAATGTCAACTATTATTTTATCAATTATAAAACATCCCCTGGGAATACATGCACAAGTGCATGTGGGTGACCTGGAGATCAGGGATACCGACAACTGTTTTGCAATGCAAAGCTCAGGACCTCGATATGCTGTTTGGAAAAGAGGTGGTGCTTGCTGGACGCACTACAAAATCTGGGGTGCAGAAATATCAAAGAAGGCTGAGCTTCTACTCCAGTTATCTATGATGTCATACGGAGACTGGATCATATTTGCCTTTCACAGGGTTTCCTAGTCTTGGCAACTTTAAGACACCACCATCCTGTAAGGCAGGGGTCTTCAAACTTGGCCCTTTTATGACTTGTGGACTTCAACTCCCAGAATTCCTTAGCCAGCATGCCTGGCTGAGGAATTCTGGGAGTTGAAGTCCACAAGTCATAAAAGGGCCAAGTTTGAAGACCCCTGCTGTAAGGCAAAGGCTTCCCAACCCTGACAACTTTAACATTTGTGGACTTCAACTCTCAGAATTCCCCAGCTGGCATGTCTTGCTGAGGAATTCTGGGAGTTGAAATCCATGCATCTTAAAGTTGCTGGAGTTGGGAAACCGTGCCTTGCAAGATAGTAAGAAGAGGCATTTCTGTGTATCTATTACAGACGTCCTGCCCTTTTTGTGTTCTGCTTTCTGTTCACCTAAAAAAAATATTATGGACTGGAATGAGTTTCTTTGCAAATCAGGAGGGTACCCTGTAATAAGCTGGACCTGCACATTGATGGTAGCTATTCTGCAGGATTTCAGGTCAAAATCTTTCTCAGCTGAAGCTAGAAAAAAATGTACCATAGATGCTCCTTCACAGAGCTGCAGTTTTCCTTTAAACTATGGTCTTCCTCTGGGACCAGAGTTGTTGGAAGTCAGGTGGCATGTGCATTTGACAGTAATAATGGAGGCGTTCACAAAATCACTGGCATTGACAACATCGCCCCCAGTCAGTGGCAAAAGGCAGCTGTACTCAGAACAACCTGAGACAATACCTTTAAACATCCACATCTGCCTTTCCCAGGTCCTTGGGCAGGACTTGATAGATGGATAAAAATGTCAAATCCAGTCTGAACATCTGGCTTACCGTAACAACAAACTATAATAATGTGGGCCCCTAGAACCTCTCCCCAGGTATGTCTACCTGGAGCTGTGCTTGCAAATAATACTTGCAAGCGCACTTGCTCAGGAGTAAGCTTTACTTTGGGGAATAAATGACACTCCTGTGTATTAGGATGCTGATTTCAGAGGTCACTGATGTGTCCAGATGTGGAGAAAGACTCCATAGCGCTGCAGATGGGAAAGTGGGCAGCCTTGCCTCATGTGCCTTCCTGAGCGTTGCTGATGACAGGGACAAGGGCTATTGCTAAATGTGTGAACAGGCCTCTGCTTAGGGGTTGGCTGGAACAGATGGGAGAAGAGCTTGAAGCAGGCAGTGTTTTTTCCCCTCTCCCCCTTCCGATGCAGCAGCATGCCAAGATTTGAAGGCATTGGGCAAAGCATCGAATTTCTCTGTACTTGTGACAAAAATAGCTGGGCTCTTTTAACAACATGCAGACACACGCACACACATACCAACCTGCAAAAAATTTGGGGAACCAAATCCTGCTTTCTTACTGGCTCTTGTTAAGTCACTCACTGCTAGTTAAAGTGCTATAACCAGAACACTGTATCCATGGCAATAGAGCCCATCAACCTTCCACTATACAAAGATAATTGGTTAACGAGAGAGAGAGAGAGAGAGAGAGAGAGAGAGAGAGAGAGAGAGAGAGAGAGAGAGAGAGAGAGAGAGAGAGAGAGAGAGAGAGAGAGAGAACATGTGTGTTTGTCTCCATAAACAGAAAAGACTCCCACGCTAAGTTGGACCTTTTTTCCTTATTGGCGACTGGTTGCAAGGGCTGGATGTTACTACTAGTGGTTGCCTCCCACTCTCAGCTTGGTTCCTGAGCTGCATTCCAAGACTGGCATCCTTTTGGGGTTGAGTAAATCTGCAGGGGATTAAAGTTGCATAGCAGATATAAAATCTTTCTGCCCTCTGCAGAATAGGAAGATCTCCAGAAGTTATGAGCTATCCAAATTGCTTAAGAGGGACTATGTCCTCGACTCCCCACAGTTCCTTTAGTGACCATTCACAGTTACAATAGCACTGAAAAAAATGACTTAGGGCGGTTTTTCACACTTACAACCATTGCAAATTCAGACACTTGGCAACTGACTCATATTTATGATGGTTGCAGTGCCCCAGGGTCATGTGATTCCCTTTTGCCACCTTCTGACAAGCAAAGTCAATGGGGAAATCCAAATTCACTTAACAACCGTGGCAAGAATACAGATGCCCCTCCTTTGGAGATACAACATTCAGTATAGTATTGTAAAGGTGGTCTGGCTCTTTTCCAGCAAAATGGTGCTATTGACAAGCTCAGTTCCCAGCTACTTTGAATGTACTTTCCTTGGCAACAGTATTTGTTAATTGATCATGAGATTTATCTTCTGCCTTTATGCACATACATACACACACATAATGTTCCTGCCTTCTATTTTCCCTGCAACGGTTACTTTGTGAAATGGGTTGTGTTGGGGGCAGAGGAACTGGCCCAGATCACCCAGTGGCTTTCACATCTAAGGGAAGACCAGAGCACATGGTCTCCTGGTTTCTAGGCCAGTTTCTTCACCACTCCAAACTGGCTTTCAGCATGTAAGTGGTTTGCCATTGTCTTCGTCCAGATGGCTTTTCAACTTTGCAGTCTAGCCTACAGCTTGGGGGGATTTGTTGGTGGCCTCTTGTCCAACTCCTAATCAGTTCTGACCCCGCTTAGCATTTCAAGATCAGCTACATGCGGCCCCTTACTTGATTCCAAGCCTTTAATTATATACAATTATCCTTGGACAATCATTCATACTGTCAATGTTGTTTTTCTCATTGTTAGGTTATCTTGTACTGTTATCGTGTTGTGAGATGGGCAGCTATGTAAATTGCAATAATAAAATTATTTTTAAAATATTTCCAGTATGAGAACTATGTTCACTTTCTATGGCAAAAACAACACAGAATCTTGTGGCACTTTAAAGTTTAATAGTCCTTGCATGAGCTTTTCTAGATCACCGTCCACCCCATCCAGTGCATCGACTATAGTCAGAGAGAAGAATACTGTATTATTTTCTACATAATATACAAAAACTAAACACACACATGGGCCTGTGGCAACTGCCTGCAGGCTAACAAGCTAGTAGACACAAAGAAGCCCAAGGATATAATACTGAAAGAGTAGAAAACAAGGAGATCAAAGTATCTCTTCCTAAAAGTGACAGAAATACTATCTTGGCTTACGGCTTACACATCATGCTAATTATTTTGTTCCTTAGGGTTTGTTCCTTTTAGAAATCATCATTGGCCAGATTCACACGATACATAGTATGGCTTTCAAGAGAAAGGAAGCATAAACTGGATTCTTGCATAAAAATAACAAAAATAAACAAAAGCAAACAAAATGAGACAAGTTTGGGCTCAACTCAGTGTGTGCACCCAACTGTAATCATTCTCACAATGTTTTGAATAGTTACTGCCTGGGTTTTCTTGGTTTGATCAGTTAAATACTCTAAAAATTAACAGATAGTGTCACAGTCTCTTTGCAGCAAACACAAAATGTGTTTGGTGCTCCAAGTCCCTTTTCCGGTGGTGATGGAGTCCAGGATGAAGACTTCAGCACCTTGGCAGTATAGGACCAGCAATGTGTTTTGATCTGAGTTCGTGTTGAACCTCTAATGTTAAGGATACATTAAAAAAGAAAGACAGTTCTGAAAGTAGCATGGGACTACTGTATGCTCAGATAGTCCTTGACTTATGACCTCAAGTGAGTTCAGAATTTCCATTGCTAAGCAAAGTGATTGTTAAGTGAGTTGCCCCTGATCTTATGACTTTTTGCCACAGTTCTTAAGCAAATCACTGTCATTGTTAAGAGAATTCTGTGGTCATTAAGCAAATCCAGCTTCCTCCATTATTTTGCTTCCTGGAAGTTGGCTGGGAAGGTCACCCATGATGATCTCATGACCATTGGATGCTGCAACCATCATAAATGCATGCCAGTTTGCCAAGCACTCAATTTTGTTCATGTGGTTGTGGGGATACTATGACAGTCCCCGAGTACAAAGGTTGGTCATGAATAGCTTTTTGCAGAGCTGTTGCAACTTCAAACAGTTGCTAAACGAATGGTTATAAGTTGAGGACTACCTGTTGAATCCAAATTAAATATCTGAAAATTTGGAAGTGGGAGGCAAAAGGCAAAGGGCAATTTTTGACACATCCTGGTCATTGAATAACCCTAGAACTTAACAATTTTCTGTCACTCCAACCGACCCTTTAGGATCCACATCTATAGACTGTTTTTTTAAACAGGGGAATGTAAAGATCTGGAGTCATGTAAGCAGTGCACTGAAGGCTCTCCTTCCCAGAATATTACAAACTGCATTTGGAAACACTGTCAGGAATCTCATGAGAAGTCAGGTAAGTCAATAAAAAATTGATGGCCAAATATTTGGATTGCATGCTTCATTTTACCATTACTTACCACTTTATCATTATTGCCTAAATACTCAGGCTGCAAAGGGCAATTTCGCAGCTCCCTACTGCTCTTGGATACCAACCCTGTGACAACATGCATATACTGTTGCTAGGTTTTGTGCAGCAGCACCCAAAATTACTGTCAGAAGATGACCTGTGCCATAAATTAATTTTAATGACTATTTAGATTTAGACCCTTATTATAGAGTGTACTTGTCTGTCTTATCAGCACAGGCTTGAATTTTTGGTCAAAGTTTACTGGCACTTTATTTAAATTGAAATGCTGCCCAGAATGGTCAGGGTCTAGGTCACCAATATCCAGAACACTGATGGATGCTGCCCACTGCCTTTTTGTAAGGACCTTATTTTTTGCAAAGAAAGGCTACCAAGTGGCAGATTGCAACTTCTAGCAGATTGGCCTTGATGGCCAATGGTGACAGATGCTGAAAGGTTTAATTGTCCACAAGAGCCACGTTAAGGCCAGCACTCTGAAAATCCTTCTATTTTATGGGAACATCTAAGCCATCTCAAGATCTGAATGTCTTTTGATTTGTACCTGACTTGTTACCCTGGCTACAGTTCCAGGAAGGGAGTAATAGCCAGGAGCTATAAAAGAACAGCCTTTGCTGTTGATTTTTGAGATCTGGTGCCTGTTGCTAGTGAGAATTGCTGGCCAGTATGGATTAGAAACTGAGAGTTTGCCTCAAGATGCAGGGAGAATTACGTTAGTTCACAGAATACAATAATTGCAGCTCAAGGGTCAACCGTGGGATCCTTGTTGCTCTCTGAGCTTGCTTGTTTTATTGCAGACATTACCAAACTAGGTAACCTCATCAGTGCTGTGATAATGTTACCTAGTTTGGTAATGAATCATTTGCAACAAAATAACCAAGTTCAGAGAGTAACAAGGATTCCATAGGATAGCTTATTTTCTTATCCACCTTCGGGCCCACCTGGACCTCTTTTAACACTCAGTAAGCCAAGCAAAAGATAGGCAAGCTGAGGATAACTAAGCTACAACTGTTGTTTCTTTTAGGCAATTTTTAAGAATGGTTTTAAATGCTTTGGGTCTATGAAGGTTCTCAATCATCCAGGTCATGATTGTCCCAAAGGTGCTTTTCAAAAGGCAACTGGAGTTTCTTGGTTTTATATGCTTTGTGGAAGAAAACAAGGTTGTGTTTATATTGGGTGCTTAGAAAATTGCAGGAATAAATCAATGAAGTTGCAGGGAGCACAGAGGAGAGTTTTACTGTTCTGTCCTAAGTTGAGTCCGAGAGTAGTACTGTTTTAAGTTGCTTTGTGTAGTAGTTCTTAGATTACTCCTGTAGAACAGATCAGCATTTCCATCTTCCTGTTGCCTGAGTCTGAATGGTTTGATAGTGGTGAAGTTTTAAACTTGGAAGAAGAAGAAGCATTTCACATCATCCCCCAAATGGCTTTTCTCCTAAGTCACAACAAATAAAAATGACAGCAATAAGTTCCAGACTTCGGATTTCCACTGATTCAAAGCAAAAGGCACTTTAATGCTTCTTTGTTTTGCCAGAACAAATCTAACTAGAAAAAAAATTCTGCTGTTCCCGTGATGAAAAAGCAACAGCAGGAGTGAATTCTTCACTTTTCTGGCAACTACTGCTTCAGTGCAATTTTGGGGAGAGAAGGAGCTGATAGAACTGCTTTTGCTTAAGACAAAACAAAACAATTCTAAGGCTCACTTTAAGTCAAGAATGAGGTAGCAACCATGTCTTATGTGGGAGGAAAGTCTATTGGTCTTTCCCCAACTGATATGGCTCCCACTCACCTGGAGGAATGGGACAACTTGCTGTAGCCCGGGATAACTCAGTGCGACAATTTTCTTTAAAATATATTTTATTAATTTTTTAAAACATAACCATCATTAATATTTGGTAAACAGTGTGTTGTCTGGATTTATATTTACAATCACAATTAATTTCTATAGTTCCATACTCCACATAATAGCTTTCCTTGATCTTCTCTTCTTCCAATAATATTAAATTAGTACATTTCTTAGTAATTTTAGTAAATAGCAATTGAATATAGACATTTTTTTCTAGTATTTCTACGAATAACACCCACATCAATATAAATCTTCTTTTCTAATTAATCATCTTAATCACCTTCTCATTTAAATTTGTTTTCCCCGCAATGTTCAAAAAACATTTTTTCCTCTTAAGATTTTCTTAGAGTTAATTACACTTAATTACAATGCAACAAATATTATCCACCACTGTTTCTTCGACATTATTTCCACTGACAAAAATGGAAGGAATGTAGAAGAAGCAGTGGCGGATAACATTTATTGCGTTGAGTAATCCCGTGTAGATTGTCCCACAGCGAGTGGTCCCGTAGCGAGATGGCTGTGGCAAGTTGGCTGTCGTGAGTTGTCCTAGACCAGTGATGGTGAACCTATGGCATGCATGCCAGAGGCGGCACTCAGAGCCTTCTCTGTGGGCACACCTGCCACTGCCACCATCTCGCGCAGGTCCATTAGGCCATCGCTGGTGCCCAGAGCGGCAGCCCCACCCAGCACAAAGGAGGTGAAGCAGCTGGCTAGCAAGCTTAAGTAGAGGTGGTAGACTCGTTAGCCTCTGTGTGCAGGGGCTGATAGTGTCAGGCAGCAACCGCCCCTACCTTGCCTTGTCCTGCAGCAATGGCACCCCTGCCCTACCCCCACCTCACCCCACAGGATGAGCCTCCTGCTCACTGCCCCACCCACCAGAGATCCCCTGGATCTCCCCCAATCCTGCCCAGCCCCCACAGGCATACCCCCAATGAGCAACATCAAGGTGGCCACGCCCACCCTGGCCACACCCACCCACTGGGCCACGCCTATCCCACCCCCCTGAGAGCACCACAATGCTGATGTGGCCCTGGCACTTTGCAATAAATAAGTGGGTTTTGGGTTGAGATTTGGACACTCAGTCTCTAAAAGGTTCACCATCACTGTCCTAGACCCCTCACCAGGTGCTCCCAAGCAGAAGACGGAGACTTAATCCCTTCCCTCCACAGTTCCTTTGCAACTGGATTTGGAGGCATTCTGTGAATGAGGGGTGATGGTCCTGCAAACCACAATTAAAACGTGCCATAGCTTATGCTGCCATAAAGAAGAGGGAATCAAGCTATTTTCCAAAGCACCTGAAGGCAGGACAAGAAGCAATGGGTGGAAACTAATCAAGGAGAGAAGCAACCTAGAACTACGGAGAAACTTCCTGACAGTGAGAACAATTAACCGGTGGAACAACCTGCCTCCAGAAGCGGTGAAGGCTCCAACACTGGAAGTTTTTAAGAAGAGACTGGACAGCCATTTGTCCGAAATGGTGTAGGGTTTCCTGCCTAGCAGGGGGTTGGACTAGATGACCTCCAAGGTCCCTTCCAACTTTACTACTATTACTATTATTATTATTATTATTATTATTATTATTATTATTATTATTATTATTATTATTATTATTATTACCACCTAAGATATTATTGTCACAAACTAACCCAGCCAGCCTGGTTCGGTATTGCCATATATGGAAGAAGAAGTAAAAGCTATTATTTCCCTCTGTTTCAATATGACTTCCTTCATTTCTAGGTATGGGGAGCTGCGTGAAGAATGGAGAAGCGTTGAAGGAGAAATGTTCATTTTTCAACACTACTGTCAGCTGTGAAGGTAATCCTTGGGCGAGGATTTGTTAGGAGGCCTTGCAAAAGCTACTGTCTGTATTATAAGTTTACTGATTTGTGGAGACTAGACAATAAGCAATATCTAGAGTACAAATTCGTGGACAAAAAGACTGTGGGCAGCTCTTTGTCCATGTTGGTTGTATGTTCCTTCCTTAATCAGAATGTTTTGTCAGTTGTCATGGACAGCAACGACTGGACCAAGATGGCGGATACTAACTAGGTTTGTGCTCAGCTCTCATATGAATAATATGATAAACCAGTATAAAGGTTGCAATTAGAACAGTCCTGGTACAGACACTCTATGTCAGTGATTCTCAACCTTTCTAATGCCGTGACCCCATAATACAGTTCCCCATGTTGTGGTGACCCCCAAGTGGGTGTGGCCACCAATAAGAGGGAGTAGGACAGCTAGGGAAAAGGGGAAAAAATGGCGGACAGCATGGTTTGGTGACCCCCGTGAAATGGTCATTCGACCCCAAATGGGGTCCCGACCCAAAGGTTGAGAACCACTGCTCTATGTTGGAGTGCATCATAGAGATGCATATTCCCCCCCCCCCCAAAAAAATGTTTTGGCTGCACCCAGGACCTCTATAAAAATGTCACCAAGTTTCTGTTTTTAATGGAATTAAGTATTGAATGGGATGCAATGTAATTTAAACCCAATTTATTATGTTTTTCTGGCGCAGCTGATTTTTTTGCCCTGGCCTTTCTTCTTCTGGCTCATTTGTAAAAAGGGCAGGTAAAAGTTCTGCTTCCACATCTGAGGCCAGTTTGGTCAATCCCAAACTTAGACGTTTTAAGGTGCTTCTCTGGCAAGAAATTTTTAATGCTATTACAGGTAGTCCTCAATTTACAACCTGTCACTTAGTGACAGTTCAAAGATACGACCGACCTGAGAAAGGAGACTTAATCTAGATCAGGGGTTCTCAACCTTGGCAACTTTAAGACTTGTGGACTTCAACTCCCAGAATTCCTCAGCCAGCTTTGCTTTGCTGGCTGAGGAATTCTGGGAGTTGAAGTCCACAAGTCTTAAAGTTGCCAAGGTTGAGAACCCCTGACCTAGATTCAATGGTTGGGCCCCCTCTGTGGTCAGGTGACCAAACTTCAGGCGCTTGACAACACGGCCAATTTATGGATGTTTGGCCATATCCCATAGTCACATGTCCGTGTTTTATGATAGTTTTCCCCAAACCTGGCATTTAATTCTGATTTTCAGCAAAACTGCAACACTGGTTTGCTTAATAGCCAGAGATTCACTTGACAATCCCAGTGATTTACCTAACTGCCAAAAAAAAAGGGATCGTGAAATAGAGTCGGTCATATGACCCGACTCATTTTATGACTGTAATGGGCAGATTTCTTTCAGTCATATGTCGAGGACTACCTGTACTTAGATTATTTTCTAATACCGTGTTTCCCTGAAAGTAAGACCCGATCTTATATTATTTTTGCCTCCAAAAGAGGCATTAGGTCTTACATCTGGGCGGTGTCTTATATTTTCCATTACTCGCCTTGTAGCAGCGGCACCAACAGCCCCATCCAGCGGGAGCCCATGTGGCTGCTGGCCCACTTCTGCGACTGCTCGCAGCAGGAGGCCACATGGCACATCGCGCCGCTACCGCCACAAGGCGAGGCAGGTGGGGGAGGGGGTGCAGCTGCCCCACATGCCCTGCACCTGCTTCCTTCAGCCCCCCCGCCCCAGCCAGTCCATTCCTTGCTCCCTTTCACTCCCCTCCCGAACCGGACTGCCGTGCTCCCGCACGGAGGATGGGCACGGTAGGCCTTGTCACTCTCCACTGTTTTGGAGCCAGGGGGAAGTGACGGCAAAAGGCTCCGCTGCCACTGTGTGCCGCTGGAGGGGCTTTCTTCGCGCTTCGCCCCACAGATCACCTGCCCAATGTGTCATGGAGCCTCCTGCTCCATTATGGCAGCCAGGTGAGACGGAGTGGGCGGGGTCCTAATTAGGGCTTATTTTTGGAGTAGGGCTTATATTAGGCCCACAAATCAGGCTAGGTCTTTTTTTCAGGGTGGGGTTCATTTTCAGGGAAACACCATAGCATAGGGCACAGAGAAACTCACCTTTGCCTTTCTTTCTGATCGCTGTTTGACGTCTGGAGATTTTGCCCCTTTGCTTTCATCCTCCTGTTTTATTAAGAGAGCATAATGGAATCAAATCCTAAAAACGGCTCTGCTGGGTCAGGCAGGTAGTCCAACACTTTGTTTCACATAGCAGCCTAAGAGCGTTTACTTCATTGTTCAATTTATACGGCTGCCTGCTTGTCACAGCAGCCCCTGACTGGGAGATAATCCTAAATCTTCAAGCCTTAGGATAATTTACCCCATCCCTTTTAAAGTTATCCGAGTGAATGAGCATTACTACATCTTATGGGGGGAAATTTCACAAGCTAGGTGTGCTCCGTGAAGAAGCGTTTTCTTCTTTTCTTAATTCCCCCTGAGTCAGTTTCATTGGATGGTTCCTTGTCCTTGCCTTTGGAGACAGGCATGGCCTCCTACATCTCAGTTGTGTTCTCCTGTTCTCCAAGCAAAAGCTCCTCAAACTTTCTTATAAAAGAAGGATCTTTGAGCTCTCTAATCATCTGTTCTCTTCTGTACTCTTTCCATCTCTGTCATACAATTTACAAAGGTTCTGGTATCTACATACCAGAACTGAAGAAGCTTCTTGGATGAGAAGCGAAAAGTTTTCAAGGGAAAAACCAAGAAAGTCCAGTTGCCTTTTGAAAAGCACCTTTGGAATACCAGAACTGTATTTTCATTGCAACAGTTTTTTTAAAAAAAATTGAAGGTCTCTATCCCTTTTTTTTCTTGCTATACAGTGGAGGGTTTTTTTAATTGATCTTTTTTTATAGAACTAAAGCTAACTACCACAGTGCATCCCCACCCAACGACAAAGGAGCCTCCGCAACCATCTTCCAAGCAGCCTAAGATTCCCACACATGGTAAGTCACTTGTGTAAGTTTGTCTACACTGGAAGAGGAAGGGCAGCTATTCACATAGAAAATGTCAAGTGACTTCTGAGCTCTTGCAGATGCTCCTGATCAGGATATTTCTGGTAAGTGCTTACATTTTCAACTGTTCTTCATTGCTCCTCCTTTCAAGCAGGTTGAGTGACAGTGGCACAGCTCATGAACGTGTCCCAATTGCAGAAAAAGGCTTGAGGGCAGGGATGCTCTGATATCCCTTCATTCATTCACTTAGGACCCCCAGAGGCACTAACAGAACCAGCACTCAGAGGTCCTTTAAGCTGACAATGATCTGGGAATGAGCATCCATCATTACCACAACCAAAAACTTGCTGGTGTCTCATCTGTTTGTGTGTGTGGACCAAGACGTACCTAAAGATGGCCTTTTACAGGTAGTCCTGGACTTACAACCACAACCGAGCCCAACTTTGCCTCATTTTACGATCTTTTTTGCCATAGATGTTAAGTGAATCACTGCAGTTATTAAGTAACACGGTTGTTAAGTGAATTTGGCTTCCCCGTTGACTTTGCTTGTGAATCACGTGATCCTGGAATATTGCAACTGTCATAAGTACATGCCAGTTGCCAAGTGTCTGAATTTTGACCACGTGACCATGGGGATGCTGAAATGATTGTGTGAAAAATGTCATGTCACTTTTTTGCAGTGGTGTTGTAGCTTTAAACAGTCACTAAATGAACTGTGGTAAGTCGAGACTGCCTGTATTGGGTCAAACTAAGAATCCGCCCAATTCAAGATTAACTATCCCACCATTCCTTCACCTGGTGCCCTCCTCGTGAGCTGAAGATCTTGGACATTTCACTCTCCTAATCTGGAGGCACAGAATGGGGGAAGGGGGTTGTTCCTTCCTCAGCAGAGATTCATTTGCCTTCTCAATTCACTAACGAATGCATACAGAGACATAGGAGACTAGTGGAAAATGTAGGCCAAGATGTTTGGAAGCATGCAAATTGGGGAGATGCTTTACTTATAAAGGCATGCAAAATGTTCCTGCTAAATGTTTTCATCATCTCTGCCTTTCAAACTGGGCAGCAAAAGACACTGCCTTGATGATGCTGAAAGCCTCATGGAGTGCAGTTGGAGCTCTGTGGGAATTGGGCAAATTTGTGAGCACAGCCTTGACCTAAGACTGTGCCTTCCAGATGTACTAAATTACCTCTTTCATCTTTTCTAGTGAGCAGGTCCAATGGATTTATTGAAAGGGGGTAGGATTCTGGAAAGGCAGCCCCAAGACTTTTGAAAGAGAGAAAATTGGAGAAAGTCTATTTTTAGGATTTTGCATTAACGAGGGATGGTCAAGGGATTCCATCTTTGCAAATTCAGAGACGAGCTTAGCTTGACCTCTTGGGCTAATGTATAAATTGGATTCTAGTTATCCGTTGGATTTCACATTTCTCTAAAGGATGGAACAGAGTTTTCAACTCAGATGGTTAACAAGCATTTAAAAAGACATGAGAAAAATGCTGAATTTGGAAATGTCAGCTTTAAGGTGAAACACATTGAAGGTACATACTTAAAGGCAGCAGTTCCTGTGAGTGGAAAAATATGAAATAAAATGAAGCAAATATATAACTCATTTGGATCAGATGTTGAATGAGTCTTCCACTACCTCTACTAAAAAACGTATTTTGCTGTGGTTTAGAGGTCATGGCAACCAACATTATTAGATTAACAATTGGAAGAGTCCATAAAGGATATCAGATTCATCTGCCCCACTTTAAGACATGTGGACTTCAACTCCCAGAATTCCCCAACCAGCATGCTCAGGGAAACACTGTGTTCATGTAATAATATGTGGAAATAACTGGGCAAAGAGAACTGTTAGATAAGAGGTAGCATAGCCCACAGCTGCATGCTGGGCAAAGCAAGAGGCTCAAGAAAGACCTTCCCTAGGATTGTAAAGGGGACAATGTACTTGCAAATACTTTTAGTCTTGCAAGACTTGCAAGGTTCTGTTAAGGAAGTTTTTCAATAAAGTAGAATTAGCTTATTGGCTGCATTTCCTGCCTGGTCTATTTGGGAAGGCTGACAGTCCACTCTTTATATTACCGTATATTCCGGAGTATAAGACAACTTTTGAGAGCGTCGAAACAGCCTCTGAACTCGGGGGTCGTCTTATACGCCTAGTCGTCTTATACGCCGGAAATAAGGTAGTTTCTGGCGTATAAGACAACTTTCTAGGCATGCGACTCGGCGTCGATCATCTTATACACTGGAAATAACGTAGTTTCCGGCGTATAAGATGACTTTCTAGGCATGTGACTCAGCGTCAATCGTCTTATATGCTGGAAATAACGTAGTTTCCGGCGTATAAGACGACTTTCTAGGCATGCGACTTGGCGTCGATCGTCTTATACACTGGAAATAACGTAGTTTCCGGCGTATAAGACGACTTTCTAGGCATGCGACTCGGCGTCGATCGTCTTATATGCTGGAAATACCGGTAGTTTCCAGCGTATAAGATGACTTTCTAGGCATGCAACTTGGTGTCGATGGTCTTGCGACTCGGCGTCGATCGTCTTGCAACCTGGTGTCGAACTAGGGGGTCGTCTTATACGCCGGGTCGCCCTATATGCCGGAATATACGGTATACATACAACAATGTGAAATCACAACTGCCAATTCTTTAGCTGATATTGGCCTTCATATGTATTGAGTTCTTCCCCAAAATCTAGGACAACTTAATGTACCAGTGTAGTATATGTGTGGATCCCAGCAATGTAGCCTTGTGTAATTGACAAATGGAAATTTTCTCAGTGTTCAGATTTTGCACATCCAAGGGGGTTTTTTTGGGTTTTTTTGGTATAGCTCTCAGTGTGCTGATAACCCCAGAGGCCACTTCGGCCAATGTTTATTACTGTTGTGATTATATTTATATACTGCCTGACTCTCTGCAACTCTAGATACTTCCTAACATTTCTAACTTTAGTTAAAATCTGGATGTGAGAAAGAATTGGGAGCAGAGAAGCCCACAGCCTGTTCCCTTATTTTACAAACGTTGGCTCGGAGGATTATCTCTGAGCGCCTTTGAAAACATGTAGGCTTGTAATGGCGTCAAGCCTGCAAGGCTCCCACTGCCTTTCACTTACTCACTGCAGGTGGAAATTAAGAGACTTAATAAAAGATCCCTTCCCCTCTTGGAGGGGCTTGGAAAGCTCTAGCCAGACCTGCCCTGTTTAGGTAGCAAAGCTTAAAAAGGCAGGCCAGAGGAAATGGCTCTTTAATAAAGAAGCGAGCAGGAGATGGATGGGTGCAAAGGAGCAGCGGTGGGTGCTCGTTGGGAAGATGAATCTTCCTGCCGAAATGAAGCACAGGCAGCAAGGAGCTTTGGGCTAATTAAAGTGAGAAACTCTATCCCAGAACCTTCTGAATTATTGATCTGCCAGAGGCTCCCTATAGGCCATTGTGTGTGCATTTATCTCAGGGCACACGAAGCAGCTTTGGTGGGGTTTCCATGCCAGCCTCTCTCACATGTCCTAATTGCGTCCCTTCTTCCTCAGCATTTCCTGTTGGAAGCCTCCATTCGCGCACAGGCGTTTTCCCATAGCAATCATTTTGCTGCATCTCCGTGTAGGATGGACCTCTTTCTGGAAAAGGCTAGTTTGTTAACTGTGTGTTGGAGTTGCAGCTGCTTCAAGTTGACTAATATGGGGTGGGTGGCCAGAAAGAGGGGGGGGGGAAGCTTGCAAGGAAAACATCCGATTTGGCCAGAAATTCCACTATCGGCCCCTTCAGCATAATCTAATCTCTTCCACCACCAGGAAACTAGAATTGCTGCTTAAAAGAGCTGGTTGCTCCTCCCCCCCCCCTGTTAACTCTGCCAGCAAGGGATTCTTTGCTGAAAACAGATAATGGTGCTAGCAGCGGAGGCAGTATTGTGAGTGCCTGCCTGCCAAATAAGAATGATTTATTCTACACTCTTGGTGCATGTGGCAGTTTATGAAGTTTAACGAGCAAAACAAACCAAGCTCTCAAAGCCCCAATGACCTTACTGCTCTGAATCTTAACTGTTGGAAGAGCTGGAGAAAAAAGCCAAGACACTGGGGAGGAGTGTTTGCCTCCCTTCCATATGGGCCTAATTTAACTTAGGCTGGACAGGGGAAGGGGAAGAGGAAGGAAGGCGAACAATGGGATTCAAAGGAAGCTTGAAGGCCGCTCATGCAAGCTTTCTTTAATCTGCGGCTTGTGTATTGAACTGCCAACTGCAGTGTGCTGGCTGGAAGGTTCCCTTCTCAACCTATTTGGAGAGCACCTGATGAGGAAGGATGAATGGTTCAACCCCCCCCCCACTTCCTGGCCATGTTGCATCTGACACCACAGTCTTATCCCTGACCAGTAGCCCTCCAGAGCTAATGAGTTCCACTGTCATCCTGATCTCTGAAGCACTTGTTCCACTGTCAGTTAGGAAGCTTCTCTTGAAGTTTCACCCAAATCAGCTTCCCAGCGACCTCATTATTTTGCATCCTCTCCTTGAAGCAAAACAGACACCTCTATTCCATCTTCTGCATGTCAGAACATCACAATGTTGAAAACCATGTTTGTTTGTTTTTCTCTTCCCCAAGTTTGTCTTCTCTTGGCTTAACAAACTCAAGCCCTTCCACTGTAGGGCAGGATTCAATGTCCCCAATTAAGTTATCCTCTTCTTCTAAGTCAGGGGGTCTTCAAACCTAGCAACTTTAAGACTTGTAGACTCCTTAGCATGACTGGCTAAAGAATTCTGGGAGCTGAAGTCCACAAGTCTTAAAGTTGCCAAGTTTGAAGACCTCTGTTTTAAATGAACCACCACGGGGAAAGGAGCAGGCGCAGATGCCCTTGCAGCAATATATTTGCAGCTCAGAGGCAGTTTGAAAGGAGCAGGGTAGTAATCTTAGAAATCAATAAATGCCTGCCTACTTATATGGGTGCAGCTGGGGATAGCAAGTAATAGCCAAATCACTCTGCTGTTCAGGTGTTTTTATTATTCACTTGGGTGGGCCAGGTAGATCAATCAGAAGGCCTCATGCAGGTGTCTGGCTCGAAGAAATTTGATTTATGAGATAAGCTAACCACTGTCACACTCTGACGTCAGAGCCCTTTGCTTGGCAGTCAAGGGAAATCTTCCCTTGGAGAACAGCTTTATTCTGGACTCACACATTCTGCAGAATAAGGTGGCAGAATCCTCAGATGATTCCGTAGACTCCCCTTTGTTTCGCACGAGGTGTTGTTTTGTTACTTTGGTTGTGTAACTGTTCGGAATAAAACTACAGGTAGTCCTTAACTTACAACAGATCATTTAGTGAGCAAAGTTACAACGGCATTGAAAAAAGTGACCTCTGACCGTTTTTCACAAGTACAACCATTGTGGCACCCCCATAGTCACACGATCAAAATTCAGACACTTGGCAACTGACTCAGATTTATGACGGGGTCATGTGATCCCTTTTTGCAGACTTTTGACAAGCAAAGTCAATGGGGAATTGAGATTCACTTGCCACTGCATTAACAAATGCAATAATTCACTTAGCAACTGGGGCAACAGAAGTCGTAAAATGGGGGCAAAGCTCATTTGACCAATGTTTCCCTTAGCAACATAAATTTTGGGCTCAATTGTGGCTGTAGCTCGAGGACTACCTGTACTCCATTCCGAAGGGCTTGCTGCTGATTCAGAAGACCCCTCCCACCAAGGACACAAAATAGGAACCTTGGGGTGACGTTTAATAGGACCCTGACATCATGAAAAGAGGGGAGAGAGCAAAACACAGAAGCTGCCCAGAAGCTCTCAGGGCTGCTGTTGTTTCAAGGGAAAAGCCCAGCTTTGCTGTAATTTTCGATTCCCTGCAACAGAGGTGGCAATAAATCAGCCCAGCTGCTGGGCACATAATGAGAACAACAGGTGCAGCTTTTCATTGGAAACAACAAAGAAATCCCGTGTGCAAAGGCCCTGAGAGATACCGGAGGCACATATAATGAAAGGTTGCTATGCAGGCACACCGCTATTGAGTATCCAGCCCCAAACCTGTTTAGGGATCCTCTGGACCGACTTCTGTTAATCCGTCCCCTTGAACCCATGTCAGCCATCCTGTTTATTGTCATTCTTTTTCACTTTGGGGCAAAATGCGCCTGGGAGAAGAGCGGTAGATCTATTTTGAAATCCTCCAAGGAAATGAGGGGAAGGAAGGGGAGGAGAGAAGAGGGGAGGGGAGGAGCCTTTGCTACAAATATACAAGAGAATATTTGTAGCTCAGGATTGGATTGTGGGGGGGGGGTCACTGGTGCTCTCTAAGCGTGGTTGTTTTCCTGCAGACATTTCATTACCCAACTAAGTAACATCATCAGTGCAGGATTGGGGGTGTGTAGGAGTGTATGCAGTTTGAAAGGTATATGTTGATGGGTCTTGGATCCTACCCAAGTTGAGATCTAGCAGCTTCTAAGCATCTAGCAGTTTGTAACAGGGCTAACATAGACCTTTGTAGGAAGGAGGATTTTCTCTCTTGGTTTGAAGCTGGATGCCTTCCCAACACTTCCATGTTCATATCCTTTCAAAGGACAGATGTGGAATCAATTTGCTAGATGATAGGAAGTGCAGTACTCTAGAGCCACTTTGGTGGAGGGGCAAAGACATCTGGCTAGCAATAGCATTTAGACTTATATGCCACTTCACAGTGCTTTACAGACCTCTCTAAGTGGTTTACAGAGTCAGGCCTATTGCCCCCAACAATCTGGGTCCTCATTTTGCCGACCTCAGAAGATGGAAGGCTGAGTCAACCTTGAGCAGGTGAGACTCGAAGTGCCAAACTGCAGGCAGCCGGCAGTCAGCAGAAGTAGCCTGCAGTACTGCATTCTAACCACTGCACCATCACAACTAGAACCAGGAGACTGTGAGTTCTTAGTCCTGCCTTAGGCAGAAGGATAAATGGGCCAAGTCATTTTTTTACAGACATAGGAAAGAGGCAAGGGTAAACCACTTTTGAAAAACCTTGCCAAGAAAACCAGAGAGACTAGTCTGGGGTCAACAATGACTTGAAGGCTCCAAAGACAAGTAAACAGAAATCCTCCACAACCTGCAGTATAAACATATTTCTCTTTATTAGGATTTAGCTTGCTGCGATGTCCAGTTCAGATGTGGGGTTAAGCAGCAAAAACATCCCCAAACAATGAAGTCCATAGGGTAACCTTCCCATAGGGTAACCTTGTCTGAGCAGGGGGTTGGACTAGATGACCTCCAAGGTCCCTATCATCATCATCATCATCATTATTATTATTTTCTCCTGTCCTTGAAAGAAGGAGGATATTTCATCTTCCATTATTCCTACCCAGCATCTGCAATAAAGTTGGAAGAAACTCCGAGATGAGCTCTCTTGCCTTGTTCCCTCTCAATCCCTTGACTTGGTTGCCCTCTAGGTTCGACCACCGGCCCACCCAAAACTCTCCCACCTGAGTTCTACCCGGCCGGCTTCGACTCTGCCAGCTTCATTGGAGGGATCGTCCTGGTGCTCAGCATCCAAGCTGTCGCCTTCTTTGTGGTGAAGTTCCTCCGGTCAAAGGACAACACCTATCAGACGCTGTAAGTTTCCTATGGACCGCTGGGGGTGCCAAGGTAGTGCAGAAAGGAAATGCTAGGCTTTTCAGCTAGCCAGGTTTCAGAAGGTGAGATGTCAGGCTTTGAGGGTGAAGGCTCGTTCTCCGAGCTTGTGGGTTGGTTTCCGAACGTTTCGTTACCAGGCTAGATAACCTCTTCAGCGGCATTTGTCTGTGTCAGTGTCCTTCTGTTTATAAGGGGTTCAGGTGTGGATTGGTCCAGTTGTAGGGTGTGAATTATCACTGGGTCAGGTGTGAGTCATCCCTGAGAGCAGAGGTCTTCAAACTTGGCAACTTTGAGACTTCTGGACTTCAACTCCCAGAATTCCTCAGCCAGCCCTGGCTGGCTGAGGAATTCTGGGAGTTGAAGTCCACAAGTCTTAAAGTTGCCAAGTTTGAAGATCTCTGCTTGAGAGGCTCTCGAATGACTCATCACAAGACCCTCACCCGACACCCCCACACCTGAAGCTCTTATAAAGAGAAGAACTTTGATAATGACATCCCCTAAACCAGGGGTGTCAAACTTGCCATGTGACGTGTTGCGACGTATCGTGGCTTTTTCCCACTGCTTGAGCGGGGGGCTGGACTAAAAGACCTCCAAGGTCCCTTCCAGCTTCTATTCTATTCTGTTCTGTTCTGCTTTACTTTATTCTACTCTACTTTACTCGATTCTACCCTACCCTACCCTATCCTATCCTATCCTATCCCCGGACCTTGACTCCTGATTTGTTTTGCTTTTAATTCTCCATCTTTGCTGTACTTCCCTTCCAGCCTCCTTAACCGAGTGACTTTGCTGCATAGGCAGCCCAGCCAAATAATTCTGGACACTGAAATCCTTCATAACTAACTGGCACAATTGAGACCATACGCAAATCTTCTCCAGCTTCTAAATGAGGTGCATAGCCCATTTGTGCTTAATGGGTTGTTGAATCATTGCAGGCTTACCTCAGAAGGAGTTTGTCTGACGTTCCTGCAGGAAGGAAGCTAACTAGTGGCATAGGATTAATGATTATGGAACGTCCCAGCCTGTCCTAGTGTAGCCTTTGCAATAAATAAGGTAATTCAGCCACAGGGGATGGTCCTTCTTCAGAGCTGATGGTTGAATTCTGTTGGATCAACAGCTGGCAGCAATGATGAATGCTGATGTCCAGTCATTTCTGGAGCATCAGAGACAGCCTCAACTGTGACTTGAGATCATTCACATTCCAAGAGGAAGAGTGACTTGTCTTGTTGTTCAAACCCTACACAAGGCAAATATTTCACAAATTGAATATTAATCCTTAAAATATAAAATGGGGGGGGGACAATTCTAACAAACTTCCTTACAATGTGATCACTTAAGAGCTCTTGAAATCTTTCTCTCCTTTCACAGGTAATGGAAATTATAGTCCTCTACTGTCTGTCTCCTTTTACCCTTTGGAATTTTAACTTACTCTTTTCAAAATAACTTGATCTGTTATTTCAGTGTCTTCTCCTAACCATATTGACTCTGAAACAAAAATCTACATTCTCCCTGTGCCTGTTAGTTTATGCAGGGATTATAGCTATGGAAAGTTTTATCAACTTATGTTCTTGTTTGCTTAGAAAATACACGTAGTCCTTGACTTACAACCATTCATTTAGTGACTGTCTGAAGTTACAACAGCACTGAAAAAAGTGACATTTCACACTTCTGATGGTTGCAGTATCCCACGGTCGTGTGATCAAAATTCAGATGCTCGGCAACTAGCTCATATCTATGACCATTGCAGGTCATGTGATTACCTTTAGCAACGATCTGACAAAATCAGTGGGGAAGCCAGATTCACTTAAAAACCCTGTTACTAACTTAACAACTGCAGTGATTCAATTAACAGCTGTGGCAAGGAAGCTCATAAAATGGGCCAAAACTCATTTAACAACTGTCTTACTTAGCAATGGAAATGTTGGGCTCAATTGTGATTGTAAATAGAGGACTACCTGTAAATATAGAGAGTGGGATTAAAGCAGGGGTCTTCAAACCTGCCCCTTTTATGACTTGTGGACTTCAACTCCCAGAATTCCTCAGCCAGGCACGATGGCTGAGGAATTCTGGGAGTTGAAGTCCACAAGTCTTAAAAAAGCCAAGTTTGAAGACCCCTGGGTTAAAGGTTTTGGGTTCTTTTGTATTGTATCAAAAATGCATCATATTATATCATAACATGTCCATTTCCCCCCACTTTTTTTCCCCATGCATGCTGCTTATCAGAGGGGAGAACCAGCAGTAGGTGTAGAAGAGTGTGTGTGTTTGTGTGTGAAAAAACACCAGGAAAGTTAAGGGCTGCCTCCAGAACCAGGAAAACGCATAACTCTTTTCAAAGATTACTCCACTATTTATTCTTCAGAATCGTGAAAGCTGTAGGGCAGTTTGAATACATCGAATATACAATGATGGCTCATTTTCTAGACAATGGGCATATAGAAAAATACCATATCCCAGGAGAGAAAATAGCCTGATTTCCTCAAATCCTTAATCTTTCGTTTGCAGAGATATAGGATAATGCAGATAGCAAAACATTCTTTCCTTCTGATGGAAGATTTTATCTTTGGAGACTCTCCTTAACTTGTTCTCTCTTGCTCTGGATGAAGAAGTATATGGACAATTTTGAACCAAACAGAGGTCATCTTTTGATGAATTTGTGTATATGTGTTAAAAACACATCATCATCTTATTCTGTTGTCTTTAGAAATTATGGACCTTCCTTGCCCCAAATCAAGAGTATAGAGTGCAAACTGTTCAGAGGTGACCAGAGTCAGCCTCTGTATCCTAGCTGGCCTGAATGTAAGGTTCCTGACTTGGGAAGCACAATCTATGAAGAAGCTGACATTTTTGCTACCAAAAATCATGGAAAAGAGTGAATTGATCAGTGAATGGAGCAGCCACTGCCTGCTGCCCACCCTCCAAAGAGGAAATGAATAGAGAAATGGGAAATAAATAATACTGACCTGGGGAGTATAAATTCTATTCTATTCTGCTTTGTCTGCTACTTAATGAGGATATCAAGAACATTCATTGAATGTTTGAAGACTAACCACGCTCTGAGACTAGTAAGCTACCACTGCATATTCTGTTGTTCCCAGACAGGTCTTTTGTTCTTATTGTGCTGAAAGTGTGGAATTGGTCCTCCAAGTGATATTGAACTAAAAATTCTAGCAACTCAAATGAACATTGCTTATGGTGTAATCCAGCAATACCTGGAAGACATGTTTCCCCACCTTGTTCTGCCATATGATTCCCATGAAATGTTTGAAGGGTGCCAGTTTAGGGAAAGCAGATGTATGGATTTCTTTGTGTGTGGTTTACAAAGTAAATGGCTGAGAGCCATTAATGCTATCAAGTCTCCATAGTGACTTTTGAATTCTGTCCTCAACTGGTTGATTTCCCAGTCAGTTTTCATAGCTATTTAATTGAAGAACAGGAGAAAAGCAGTGGATTACAATGTCCTATGACAGTGTTTCTCAACCTTGACAATTTTTTTTTTAATTGAAAATTTTTATTTTTTAAAACATACAATCATTTATAAAAATACAATAAAATTTTAGAATAGAGAACCCCCCCTTACCCTCCCTCCCACCCCCACCCCCCCTCCCTTCACTTCCCAGAGCAGAATACAGGGTTAGAAAAAAAAAAGAAAATTATAATAATTAAGAAAAAAGAAAAAAAAGAGAGAAAGAAAAAAGAATATCATAATTAACCTTTAACTCCATAACCTATAAAACAATTCTCTATAATATTTGATATTCATTCATAAAATAAATAAAACTTTTTAATTCCATACTTTTTCTGAATATAATCTATCCACCTTCCCCATACAGTAATATATCTTTCTTGTGTATGATCCTTTAAATAAGCAGAAATTTTTGCCATTTCTGCAAAACTAGATACTTTAAATATCCATTCTTCTAAAGTAGGCAAATAATCTTTCTTCCAATATAAACCTACTAGTAACCTTGCTGCAGTTAATAAATTCAACATCAAAGTAGTTTCTTTTTCATTTAAGTCAACAAAAATACCAAGTAAAAATAGTTGAGGAGTAAACTTTATCTTTTTATCAATTTTTGGAAAAAATTGCAATTGTCATTGTTGGGGAGAATTTCAGCTGTAAAAATGAATGTTCTACCAAAGTTTCTTTTTTTGTTTCAGATGATACCTATTCTTAAAAAAGAGGCAAATTTGGAGGAATGGCAAAAGGGTATCAATAATTTTATATGGGCCGGGAAGAAACCAAGGGTTAAATTTAAGATATTACAGGATGCTCGAGAAAGAGGGGGACTTAAGGCACCTAATTTGAAATTATATTATGATGCAGCCGCCCTAACTTGGTTAAGTGATTGGCTTAACTTAACAAATATGGATATTCTTTTTTTGGAAGGTTGGGATTTAATATACGGTTGGCATGCATATTTAATTTTTAATAAGAAAGTTGATCGGACTTTTAAATCACATATTTTGAGGAATGCCTTACTTCGTGTTTGGAAGAAGTATTATTATAGATTAAATTATAAAATACCTATCTGGGGGATTCCCAGACATGCAATTGAGGGAACCTCTAAGGGGACAAATTTTGATAAAATTTCATACAAAGAATTGTTAATTTGTTCTGGTTCGAATTGGCATTTGAAATCCCTAGATGTATTAAGGCAGCAAAATATTCTACAGTCATGGTTTCAATATTTACAAATAATGGATAGATGGACTGTAGACAAGAAAGAGGGAATAACACTAGAAGATAGACAATTGGTTATTCAGATTAAAAACCAAGGTCCGGCTCATATAAAAAGAATATATAATGTTTTATTAGAGTTAGATTCGGAAACAGAATTGGTTAAAGATTGTATGATTAAATGGGCTCAGAATATACAGGAGCCGATCTCATTGGATTTATGGGAGATAATTTGGATAAGAAATGTTAAATTTACACAAGCTCAAAATTTGAGAGAAAATTTTTATAAAATGTTTTATAGATGGCATTTAGATCCTAAAAAATTATCTTGTATGTATTCCAACATACAGCCCAAATGTTGGAGATGTGGCAATAATGATGCGACATACTTTCATATTTGGTGGAATTGTAAAAAAGTAAAGGCTTTTTGGATTATGATTTGGTGGAACATTCAAAAGATTTTCAACCTTGACAATTTTAAGGCACGTGGACTTCAACTCCCAGAATTCCACAGCCAGAAATGCTGGCTGTGGAATTCTGGGAGTTGAATTCCATGTGCCTTAAAATTGTCAAGGTTGAGAAACACTGTCCTATGACCTATGCTTTAGAAAGAGAAAGCTTTTTGTTCTTAAAGTCAGATAGTGATGGTAGAGGTTCTGGATGGGATGTTCTTAACATAGGAGGTGAACTTCTACCGGTAGATAGTGAAATTTAATTCCCAGCAACCCCACCTAAAGCATCCAGCTACATACGGAGGGCCAAATATATCAATTATATTGCCTTCAATCAATGTAATTCAGTTTTGCATCTTAAAAAATAACCCAGTCTCTATTGGTGGCATAATTCATCAATTCATGAACATGTTTTCTTCATATCTACTAGGCGTTTTAAGTGCCCTTTTGCATCTCACCCAATGAGCTTCCCGATTCTTGGAGAATTCTTCCTACATTTCCTCTCCTGGCTTCAAATATTATTGATAAAACATTCGTCACTTTTTCTAGGGCCGATACCCGAGTGCTTAATTAGCTCTAAAGCTGCTTCAAGAACCAGCTTTAGTACTTCTAGGCAAAGGTCCCCAACCTTTGGGGCAACAGGACCAGTTCCCTGGAGAAAGGTGTTTGCACGGACCGGAGAGTGCATGATTTTGTGTGCTGCCTGCATCCCACGGATGAGGCTTTGCTTGTTTGTGTGGACCAGTTGCTGGCATGCCATGGCCCGGTACCGGTCCATGGACTGGGGGTTGGGGACCCCCGTTCTAGGGCATGTTCAGAAGCACCCAACTTGTATGCAGACAAATGTTCCTATCCAAAGCTTCCATGGAATAAACTCTTACGTACTTCTGCATCAAGCCTTTATTCTTGAAATCATCCAGATTTGGAAGTGGTCCTTTCCTTTCCAATAACAAGAATTGTACAGTTGATTATAACTGCTACTTGAACTGAGGAATTACCACAAGAGCCGAGAGAGATAAACATCCCCTTTAAAAACCTATCCTGGCAGCAGCTGGATTCTTTAGTAAGCCATTTGTGTTTCTAAAAATGGGCAGATCTGAAACCGGGTATATGAGACAGCAGACCAGCTGAAAAACTAAGCCGTGAGCTTGACTTCAGAATACCAACAAGAAGCAGCCAATTCTTTCCATTTGTCAGAAGTACCAACTGCAAGAGCTGACCCTTTAAAAATATTTTTAAAAGTTTCATTCTTTTTGGTCTCTTGCTTAATGAATTCATGTTTTTAATCTTTCCAACAGCCAGAGTTCTCTGGAGAGATTACAGAGCAGTTAAAAGCATACCCCACCCCTCCTTTTCTCAGTCCCAATGCTTGCAGGGTCTGCTGTGAATAGATATGGGGAGGTGTTCCTGCTGGCTGTTCTTTTTCCAACCAGTTGAGGAATGCTGGGTCTTCATGCTGTGTCTCTTTTGGGTTGCTGTGTGACTTTTGTGCTGTTGAAGCTTTCTTGGGTGGGGGGAAGGATTGAAGGGAGAGAGGTTAATTGACTGCTAGTTGCCTTCTTGAGTGAAAACTTGTGATCCTGACTTCTGAATTAAAGCTTATGGGCGTTTCCTTTATCCAGGACTTCTGATGCTCCTGAATGTCATTGTTGGGCAGCCCTGTGTAGTAAGTAGGTGGTAAGTCTCACCCTGCTGAGAAAGATCACCACTGGTAATGATGATGTTTTCCAGAAGAGCCAAGAAGTTGTATATGGGATCCTCTCTTAGGAAAGGTCTTTGATGTCCATCTTTTTCTGGATGGAGAAGAACAGAAAGCTCTTGCAGAAGAGGTGGCTTCAAGACAATTGGGGAGGGGGATGTTTTCCAGCAGCTGCACAAGAGGAAGACACACTTCAGGGCAGGATATTAGGCTTAGTGCAGCCCCTAACTACACCCCGTATTACTTTCTCTACCGTAGCTCAGAGCAGAATAGTATTGCTGGTGGTAAAGCAATGCCATGACTCAATAGAACAGGGGTGGGGAATGATGGACCTTTTATGACTTCTGGACTTCAACTCCCAGAATCCCCAGAAGTTATAAAGGGGGCATCTTTCCCCACCTCTGTAGTAGAAGAGCAGCTGCTTTGTAGTCAAACAGCTCCATGTTGAATTATCAGCCTCTCCAGTTAAAGATAAGGTAAGAGGTGATGGGGAGATCCCTTTCTCAAGAATCTGGAAAGACCAACTGCCAGCCAGAGAAGGTAATACCAGTCTAGGTGGGTCTTTACCATCGGAGCTGGTAAAGATCACCTGTCTGTCTATGTGACTTCAATCTTTGGAGCCCTAAATTGATGGAAGTTCTTTCCCCCAAGCTGTACAATAATCATCTCCACTTCTGCCACAACTGCTCCCTAGATTCCTACTTTTTTAACTCTGCACTGTAGCTGCCCAATATGGAGTCAGACTCCTGCGCTTAGTATTTGGAGTGCTACAGATTTGGCTGGGGAGGCTTTCTTAGATCAATCTGGAACTGAGTCTGGCGTCACTTTTGAGTTGCAACCATTCCTCAACATTGAAAAGACACGAGATCATTCTACAAAACTACAGTATGTTCTCCACCTTAGGCTCAAAGCCATCTGGGTGACCTTGAGCCAGCCCCTCCCTCTCAGCCCTAGGAAGAAGAAGAAGGCAATGGCCAACCTCTTCTGAAACCTTACCCAGGCAGTTGCCATGAGTCAACCTGACTCAAAGTCTGTAGATTCAAGATGGCTGGTGGATATACTTTGATTTTAATGATATCTACTCCCTGAAGCAGCATTTCTCAACTTTGGCAACTTCCTCAGAAATGCTGGTTAAGGAATTCTAGGAGTTAGTCCACACATCTTAACATAGCCAAGATTGAGAATCAATGCTTCCCCAACCTTTTGGGCACCAGGGTCCAGTTCCGTGGAGAGAGGTTTTTCCGCAGACCGGAGGGAGTGTGGTTTTGTGTGCTGCCTGCATCTTGTGAATGGGGCTTTGTTTGTTTATGCAGACTGGTTGCTGACATGCCACGGACGGGGGGGGGGGGTTGGGGACCCCTGCTTTAGGGAGTAGATACCACTAAAATCAAAGGGATTTGTATGCAGAATCAACACACGTAGGATGGTGCCATAAGACCAGGTTAATATAAAACTGATATAACAAAACCAAAATGCTTTGTCTATATAGCATGCTATCTCTGAACAAACTGTAGGATGGCTCTGGGTGTTAAACTAGTTTACCCACTAAGGCCATTGACTCTGCAGCGCCTACTGTACAGGGAGAAGATCAAAGAGGTCAAGACATTGAATATAGTACATGTTTAAAAAGGAGGTTAGTGCTTTGATCACATGGTTGTGATTACTAACTTATTAATTGGGTATATCTAGTCTAATGAAAATGAGATAACATGATAGCAGTCTTCCAGTAATTGAGAGGCTGATCACAGAGAAGAGGGGGAGGGTCAACCTGTTTTCCAAAGCACCTGAAGGCAGGTCAAGAAGCAATGGATAGAAACAAATCAAGGAGAGAACCAACCTAGAACTAAGGAGAAATTTCCTGACAGTGAGAACAATTAACCAGTGAAATGGGTTGCCTCCAGAAGTTGTGGGTGCTCCAACACTGGAAATTTTTAAGAAGAGATTGGACGATTTGTCTGAAATGGTATAGCCTCTCCTGTTTGAGCAGGGGGTTGGACAGGTCCCTTCCAACTGTCCTAGACTTTTTTCAGGAAGTGCACTTCTTGTGTTCCAACTATTGCAAGTTTCTCTATTTTGCAGATGCAGGTCCTGTTTTTAGCAAACTCAAGAGGAGGAGATTTTGTGGGCATGTAAACTAACTAGCTTAAGTTTCCCCATTGTATTCTGGCCTGGTGAAATGTTTTTCGTTCCTTTATGTTCATTTGCTCCATCGCATTAGGATCTAAAGGCTGATCTCCAGGGAGGTGTCTTGATGTACATCGTTTTGGCTGGAAGACCACTTGGAGAAGAGGCCAATTTGGCCATGTTTGGAAGCCAGGACATTCTCTTTCCATCTGATGGAACTTCTGAAGAAGATAATCCAAAAATCCGAACCTCAGCACCCTGTTACCAAGCCCATGGTGCTTGGCTTGGATGTACAATATGGCTCCTCTAGACTTGATGCAGAAGACTATACAGTATAAATGACTATCCACAAGACCACGCTTTGAGCTGCAGGAAACTTCATCTGCTTGACTGTGGATGTATGTAACTCAGATTAAGAATCTCTTCAACCAACTGGAATTTTTCTTTATAGGCTTTCTTTATTGTAATTATTCTTCTTCTAAGCCCACAAAAAGCCTTTTATCTCTTTCTTGATACAATGGATCAAGCCCCGACTTTGCATCTTAAGAATTTATTTTAACCTTTGAATTCTTTTTTTCTGATCTTTTTTATTTCTTTCCTGGTGTTGTAAGCAGTGCTACAACAGAACAATATATATAGTTCATGCATTTGCAGATTAAGCTGCTAATCCTTTTTTTTTTTTAAATGCCTGGCAGCCCTAAGGATTAGCAAAGTGATCTACTAGTTTTAGTTACTTACGATTTCAGTGTAAAACTTTGTTACTTTAAAAAAAAATGTGAGTGCCCCATTCTAGTCTCTCCCATTATTGCTCAAATGTTTATTTGTTTTTCAATCCTAACAGCCAATGTGGAATAGTTTTGCAACCTGAACTGCTTCGATACATGTCAATTTAGCCAGGTGCTTTTTCAATAGTGGTACCGTATTCAGATGTTAAAATGCTTGGTTCCTCCTGTTAAACTGATTGCGCAAAAGACAAGGGGTCTCCTTCACACGTAGCATGTTTTCTGATAGAGGAATTGTAGACGACGGGAGCAGAAACCTAGCAGGCTTTGTGAAACTGAACTAATGTTGAGCCTCTCTGAAATTGCCTGTTTATTGAAGAGTGAATCCCTTAAAACACCCTTAAAACACATCCTTCGGTTCTTTTCGAGAAGCAGAGAGATCCTTTGCTACAAAACTGGCAGCGAAAGCAAGGGGGGGGAACCAAGAGGCTTTTTCAAATAAAATGCAATATTTATGGACATTGTATGTATTCATCTTTATATATACAGAAACATTGCATTGGTCCTCAATAGAAATCTCAAAAAGACAAAAAAAAAATGCAGCTTAAAACAGTAAGCAGGTCCAAAGTGTTCCTAAAGATTGCCTTGCTATTAAGTTCATCTCTAAGAAATGCATTTGTATCACTTTTAATGTTGCAAGTCATTTTTTTTCCCCCAGGGCTTCCTTTTTAACTTAATTAATGAACAACGGAGAGTCAGTTGCTGAGCGGGTTGACCCTGAATTCTACGTCTCTGGACTGGCAAAATGGGAAGAGAGTCTGAGGCTGTGCTAAAAGCTCAGGGAAGGATAAAAGCAGGTAGAGAACTACTTTATCCTTCTTTAAAGGAAGATCTCCATTGCTACGCACCCACCCACCGAGGCCAGCTCAGCACAAGCACAGCTAATGGCCTTGCTCAAGCCATAAAGTGATGAGAAACTTGCCTTTCAGCAAATCACTCACACAGACACACACACACACAGAGACACACACAGAGGGAGAGAGGGGGGGGGGAGAGAGAAATCTTCCCTTCCCTCTAAAGCTCCTAATGGAAGAATTGGGCTGCCTTTCAGTGCCACCTTGTGTGCAAAATAGTACTGTGCTGAATGGGGAAAAAAGAAGGCTCCACTTTCCCTGTGGAGATTCTCAGTCATCCCAGTCTTGGTTGTCTCAAAGGAGCTTTTTCAAGAGGCAACTGGACTTTCTTGTTTTTCTCCGAAGACCTTTTGCTTCTCATCCAAGAAGCTTCTTCAGCTCTGACTGGATGGTGGGGAATGGAGGGGTTTATATTTCTTGCAGACAGCTGGTCTTTTGCCTTCTTTTAGAGCAGGGGTGTCAAACTGCCGGCCCATGGGCTGGATGCGTCATGGCAAAACCACACCCACCCCATTGCTGGCAATGGGAAAAAAAGTTGCAATGCGTCATGACACATCACGTGACATTGTGAGTTTGACACCCCTGTTTTAGAGAGTTGTTGAGGTTTGTCTGTGCCCTCAGGGTCACCTGAGTGATGCAAATGGGTGTGGAGCCTTCTTGGAACTGCTGAAAGGACCGTGTTGTGGAGCTGCGCTTTCTGCAGGGTGTTTTCTGTCCTGGGTCCCTTCACGGCTGAACATACAGTAGGTGCAGGCTGTTGGGGATGAGTCTGTGTTGTCTGCATCTCAAATTGAAGTGCAAATGGTTCCTGTAGTCTGCATTTTTTTTTCCCGGAAATCCATTCATACTTCCGTGCCATTCAAAGGGTGTTCATCCCAAAGTGCATAGCTAAATATCTGTGGAGATTCTCAGTCATCCAGGTCATGGTAGTTCCAAAGGGATGTTTCAAGAGGCCACTGGACTTTCCTGTTTTTCTTGAAGACCTTTCGCCTCTCATCCAAGAAGCTTCTTCAGCTCTGACTGGATGGTGGGGAATGGAAGGATTTATATTCCTTGCAGACAGCTGGTCATTTGCATTGTTTTGCATGTCAATCCAAAGTAGAGCCTGCACACACACACACACACACTTTTTGCAGCATAGAACAAACAGATATGGGCATTCTGGTGGCATGTTTTCATCCACAACAAATGGGGTCCTCCCAGTTAAAAATATCCCTTTAGGAAGGTGATCGACTTTTGTCTCCCCCAGTCCATTTCTGCAGCCTGAAGGTCATCTTGATTGCCACTGTTGGGATGGATGGATGCTGGGATTAAGTGCTTCATTAAGCATAATCGGCCTTTGCTAGATTGATCACTATTGCCAGGGGCTGTGGTAGGTTCCTTCATATATTTTCTCAGTTTCTATGAATCTGGGGGTGCTGGCCACTTGTCCTCAGTATTTACATTACATGAGGCTATAACTCAGCTTGCTATTACCATAGCGGGGAGGAGAATTGTGTCCGCTATCCCAGTTGCTGAGAACCAATTTGATGGTTAAGGAACCAGGCCAGAAACCAGGAGAGTATGAATTCTAGTCTTGCCTGAGGCATAAAGCCAGCTGGGTGACTTTGGGCCAGTCACGCCCACCCAGCCCTAGGAAAAAAGCAGGCAATGGCAAAACACTTTTGAAATCTTGCCAAGAAAACTTCAGACTGGTTCAGATAATCATCAGGCTGCAAGATCAGTTCAAAGTATACACACACATACACACTTCCAGTTGTTGTTGACAGCTCCTTGCAGCCTCTGCTAAACATAGTCAAGGGTAGAAGATATAGTTCAACAACTGGAAGTTCTTCATGTTTTTTGTCCTTGGAGGATTAGTTTGTTATGTCAGAATATAATGGGAACTTCATTTGGTTTTGTAGGGTTGCTTCTGCTTATAATTTGGAGCCCTGGGGTGACTTTTTGGTATAATTCAAAGAGTCAAGATAGCGGGCTCTGTGGGGCAACAGAAGCTTTGTCCATTTATTATGCAGGTTTTGTGTGCAGTGCACATACAAATGGACAAAGCTTCCATTGCACTTTCACAATCCACCATCTTGATACCCTTCAGACATCCTTGACCCTGGGATCTTGATGATCTTAGAGTGTCACTGGTTTTGCCTTTTTTATTTTGGGATTTGCATTCCATTAGGCAGGCACATTGGGCGAGGGCAAACCATCCTTCCCCTTAGCCCTTACACTCTCAAAACGCTATCTGTGCCCTCTGGCTTCAACAGACAAGACCCTAAGCAAGCCCAATGAGAAAAAACTCTTTTAGCAACCAGATTTAGGGATTGTTTCAACTTGCACCCAACTATTGGACCAGTATCTCCTGCGGATGGTTTCCCCCCCCCCTCTTCTTCCTTTCTGGGTTCCCATCTTCTTTTCCTCATTTTTGCCTCCAGCTTACAAAGGAGACAAGCTGAAGTCTTCATTAATTGTACAAGTGTCAGAGAAGCATCCCACCCACCCCCTTACTCTGACACCATCCAAGGACAGCCTCAGGGCGTGTGAAAGCTGTTAGGCTTAATCACCCATTACTTGGGAGGGAAAGCTGGCAACAGCCGTGAATGGGAACCAAGACAATAAAAGCAGGATGGAGAGCAAGGCTGTGAACAGCAAATGTCATGCCAGCATATTTTTCAGCTGCCTCAAGGTCGGGTGGAGACTAGAGCAGTTCAGCTCAGCAGTGGCAAAAAGCTTTTCAACTGAAATTGCTTCTGGATTCCCTTCTCAGGCTGCATCCTCCTCCCCCCCCCCTTCTCCCCAACATGCAAAAAACAAACAACCACTGGGTGGCAGCAAAGCTCTTGCTGCCAACTAGTGGTCATCAGGATTTTTGCATCCCAGTTCTGATAACCCTACATTGGACAAGCAGAGAGAAATAGGACAAATTCTTCACACGCTCTGGGGTAGTACAAGGACTACAGGATTTCCAATTTATTGGGAGGGAACTGATCTTAGTCTAAAATTTGAGGAATGCTGAAAGTGTTGAGACCAATGTTTCACTTCAGTCTGCTCTTGGCCTTTCCAAGAAGTAGGAGATCAGTATCTTTAGAGATTGTTGTTACGTGGGGCAATTTGAACAATGGTGAGAAATCTTCTACTTCCCAAGATAACTGTACTGAAATGTCATTGTTCCCAACAAGTATGAAGAGTGAGGACAAAGGGAGGGGAGGAGAATGAACAACTCTGGGACGAAGGGGAGGAATTCAGACCAAATATGAAGGGTTTTTGCAGTCTTGATCTGGTGTTCCACTGGGATGGGGGCCCTTAGTTATCTAAAAGAATGTCCAGATAGGAGCCTGTTCATTGTTTGGACAGTGATTGAACGTGAGATGTTGCCTCCCATCAGGTCAGACCAGTGATTCAGTTCTCTTCAAACCAGTGGCCAAACTTCAACCCAGGGCTTTCCCCACCCAGATCTGAAAATACAAAGCTTTGCACTTAAGACCAAGTGGACTGAGAGGGGACTTTGTCTGCATTTGGAAATTCCTCTGCTTTGTACTTTATCTTTCTCAACCTACTGTTCTCCATCTACACTGGGACTCCATGCTCTGCAAATTTCCAACCAACCTTCTCCCTTGGCAGGAAAACCAAATCAGAGAAGCCTGAATCTTACATTAAATATGTTTCTAAATATGCGTATCACTAGCTTCTGGCAGTCTTGCATTGTTTACAGCGGGTGTAGATTTCTGTTTGCAAGAGAAGGGAGCTTCTGCTGGACTACAACTGCAGAGACCAGTTGCACGTCTGTCTCTCAGTTGTGGAAGCTTTCAAGCCAACTCGCTACGGCCAACTCGCCATGGGACAATTTTAACAGTTCAATTTAGTTTTTAAAAATAAATATTTTAATTTTTGTCATTCACATTTCATTCTCTCCCTCCTTTTGCATCGGTTCTTTAATGATTCTATTCCACCATTTCTTTGATATTACTGTAACCCTTCTACTGTAACTAGAACACCTTCTAGGTCCCTTCCGGCTCTATTCTATTCTATTCTTATCGCACAGCGAGCTGTTGTCCCGTGGTGAGTTGTCGTGGCAGCAAGTTGGTCATGGCAAGTTGGCTTATGTAAGGTCCTACTTCAACTAACCACCCAAGAAAGCAGAACTCTTGAAACAGGCATTGTCTCAAAAGAATACTTTTATTAGGGGTCAGTGACAGGGAAGTCAAGGCGGGATCTGGGGAAAAACCTGCCGAAACAGTATAGTTAAGCAAGCAATATTCCTCTTCCCACCAAAGCCATAATGTCCATTTGAAATCCAGCCAATCTACAGGTGGACTGATGAGCGGGTAACTGGCACAGTTGGTGGGCATCTCGAGGCCTGCTCCAGTTTCGTTTCTCTGCAACTGTCTCCCTGATAAAGGGAGACACATTCCTATCTCAAGGGGATGGAGGGAGGAGGGGAATATAGAAAGCGAAAGTTATCCCAAGCACATGCAAGCTCCCCCTCTTCCCCCCCCCACAACAGAATGGCAGGCCCCCAAAGCAGAATATATGCCCAAGGAAAGGGAGGAGGGTTTTGGGGTCCTGACAGCTATGGTGAATTGGCTGTGGCGAATTATCATAGATCAGTGGTTCTC